TGAGAGGATTGACCTTCTAGTTCTACAGTGCTCTTACTTTCTGGCTGTACAGCTGGCTGTGGCTTTTCTCCTGTTCTTCAGCTCGGCCCCCAGTACCATCATGAGATGATTGTAGGAGACAGAAGCTGGCTGAGTGTCCAGTACAGTAATCACAGTGATATTGTCACTTATGTAGTACTTGAGGCCAGTTCTTTTCTTCAGTGAGAGGTTAATGAATAACCTCCATGCTGTTTCTTCTGCTGGGAGTGTTAGTAGCCATGATCTCCTGCCAGGAGTGACTCTGCACTTGGACTTTATGATTTGTCTTAGGAAAAAAAAAAAAGTTCAGTCCTTCTGGGGCAGTCACTAGTGATCTCTGTTCCACCAAATCACTTCCTTAGGCACAGCTCCTCTCAGCAGTGAAGATGGGTTTGAAGCCAGCAGTGTCTAGGACTGCTTGTGCTGGATAAGTGATGACAGAGCCTAGGTAAAAATGCCAGTGGCTCTTCATGCCTTTCTCTGACATAGTTAGCTAGTACAGTTTAGAATAGCTTCATTAAAAAAACAAATGAGACATCATAATACAAGCAAATGAGAACCTGGTGACTAAGATACTGGCTGGTAATATTGTCTTCAAATACATGTGGAATGCCATCCTGCTGAAATTCAAGCCCTTATATATTTGATAAAGGGTATCCAACATCGGTCTACTCACCCTTCAACATATTACAGCATCTGTCTTACCCTCCCCCTGGAGTGCTCCTCCATTGCATTTTATAGCACCAGACAAAGAGACTCAGACTGACTGACTCCATAGAACAACAGTCCCACCACGTAGCAGTGCTCCAGCTTGCAGTGAAACTCTTGTGGTTCAGAATTACCACATAAAATATGCAGGATAGCAAATGACTACAGCAAAAACATCAAGAAAACCTCACTGCACTGATAAAAAGGTGCTAAATGAGATCTTCTCTGCCAAAAGTGGAAGACAAAGATAAAAATAAGCCTTACTCCTGCATGCTCCTCAAGTCAAGGGGATGGCATTAGCCTCTTCGTCACAAAAGTTAGTCAGTCCCTTCCTCAGTCTCACTGTGAAATTAATACAAAAGGAAGGGACTCAGTACAACTCCTGGAAGGGCCTGTTCAACTATAAAACTCCCCAGATTTTCTTCTCTATCATCTGCATTGCCTTCCATGAGTATTTCTATCATGCACTCTTGGTGTTTTGAATATAAATTTAGGAAGGACAGGAAGGGAGATTCATATTCTCTTTCTCAAAAAGAAAAACATAATGTTTATATGTTGCTGTAGCCTATCTGGCAAAGGTTAGTTTTGGAGGGCTGATGTAGGGGACATCCTGGTACAACATGAGCAGCACCAGTTTAAATATCTAGCCTGAATCTTCCAAGATTGAAAAAAAATCCAGTACATCTTCGCTGTACATTTTTTGGACACACATTCAGCACTATCTTTATACAAGGATACCAAAGTAACTGGAAAGACTGAGGAGAAAACATCTCAGCAAACAATGCTCTTAGTCAGCCAATACATTCTGAAAATGTGACTCATTATCAGAGGCAAATATAGTTTATGTCGTGCTATGAGTGAATTGATCATCTGTAATCTGGGTAAAAAAAAAATAAATAAGATTGTTTAAATACAGCTTCAGGGAGTGCTACATATTTTATCTTGGTTTCATCTGGTTTCCCATAATATCAAAGCTGTGTTTAGTGGATAGAGATTTACGACCAGAAAATTATATGCATAGCTGAAGAATGTGATGGAATGATGTGCCTTGTAGAGTTAGTTATCGTTGCTGGGGAAGTAGAGCTGGTTTACAGCTTGCTTTTTCCCTCTTCATCTGGGACTGATCTGTGTCTTTGCATGGTATATAGGAAATGTTCTCTAAAGTTCTCTAAACGTAAAGACTGTGTTTCAGGCACTGTACGGTAGGAGATTTTGAAAACCGTGACTCATAGACAGACAATTGTTAGCATGTACATTTTTACAAGTATATTTTCTTTATCTTATCTTTGAGAAAATAAATACATCTTTATACCTAGATTGTCTCAGCTGCTGCCAACAATGGGACAATTATGAACACATTTTCCCTTCTGTTAGCCAAGGCTGTGTACACACAATATTATTTTGTTTTACTTTTTGTGTTTTAATATTGAATGCTGCACGGAGACAGAAATTACTTTGCTGGGAGCAGGAGTTATTCCAATGAACATCTAGTGACTAGGAGACAGACACAATGCTATGTAGGCATTTTTATTTCAAGCTCCCTGTGATTGATAGCTAGGATATCAAATGGATGGTGGTTTTGGAAGAAAGATCAAGGCAATTGATGGCATCAGGCATTTGGAAGATGGTTTTTCATATAGCTGGCTGGCAGCTGGTCTTTTTGGGTTTTGAATGGACTTGCCAGTTGTTGTCTGAGCTTCATGTAACAAAGCTTTTTTTTTTTTTTTTTTTTTGATGTGCTGCAGTAATTTCTCTTAGGTAGGTCATTTTTTTGCTTATATTTTAATTTTGAAAGTGTCCTTTTTATTTAGCATGGGGTCTAGAGTGGGACTAAAGCCTGAGTTGCATCGCTTTCCTTGGAATTTTTAAAGTCAAAATTGTCTTTTGTTACTTTCACCACTCTTAAACACAGGGTTGAGAGCTGGCAATTAGATGCACATCTTAAAATGTCTTTTACATGTCACTCAGCCTAAAAGCCAAAAGTAAACCAGTGACTAGATATGGTATGTGAGAGCATTCATTAGCACCATTCATGATCAGGGAACTCTTTTTTTTAAAAGCTATTTGAGGAACCAAAAGAAAACTGCAAGTAGGCTTCTTGCTGACAAGTTGCAGGTGTATACCACATGCCCATATTGGAAATGAGATGCGGTTATGAAGGTCTTGATGACAGACAAGGGTCTAAAATGCCTTCATCTCCAGGTTTTAGCTAGCCCATCTGGTTTTTATTTGCATTTCCCCCAGCTAGCAGTATTAGTGTTTTCCAAACTCAGTATAACCATGCACAGGTCTATATAAAATCGCTTTTCTGCTAACAATTTTTATGCTAACTATATAACAAATTGCAAGTCAGTGTTACTGTCTCTGGAAAAATGAGGGAAAGGAGTGATGAGATTGAGGGGAGAGGACTTCAGTTCCACGTCATTAGAATAGGTAGAATCCACTTATGCCTTAGGAGCATCAAACAGGTGAAAGATTGCATTTGTCTCTTACTGCTACTTCTAGCTAAAAGATCTGGCCTTCTTTGATGTTCATCCTCTTGCAGATGAACTCAAGGGGAAACATTTATTCTTAAGGGAGAAAGACACATACGTCAGGTTACTCCAAACAGCTGCATTCTGGAACCATTCTTCAAAGACACATATTCGGAGGGCAGAAGTAATGGGGCAGCTGCATTTGGGCAATATCCAGCCAGCACTTTTGGTATGGTAAAGTAAATCTTGATGAAGAAAAAAACTAATGAAATCATATGGGAAATGGCATGGTTACTTCTCCCACTAATGGCACTGAAGAAACTTGCTTGGTTTCATCATCAGACCTCTTGTTTCTGCTGGAATTCTTAACAAAATGGCACAGAGAAACAATGAGTTCTCCAGCTAAAAGAACAATTTTCAGAGCAAATTCTCAACGTCCTCCAAGTTTTTATTTTCTGAGAACAATATAATCAAGCCTTGATTTAAAATATTATTAGAAAAATAATCAGCCTAGATTGAAAATCAGTCAGTTGGCCTTTTTGTTTGTGGTGAATAGTTAATTGCAAGGGTCATTTTGAAAACAGTAAAAGCAATACTTTGATTTATTAAAAATGCTGGAGAAAACTAATTGAGGAAGTGTAAACATCATTTTCCAGAAAGTGTTCAAAATTTATTTTCATCTTTTTATCTAAACAAATTCTTCAAGTATAATTCTGAGGGATTAAAAAAACAATAATAAAAAAAATCTATGCTTAATTTAATAGGCAGTAAAATTAGATGCAGACAGAGAGCATAGCTTTAGCTTTGTGGGAGTAAGTAGAAAGGATCCTGGAATGTCGCAGTGTGTGTCGTTATGTCTCCTTAAGGCACATGTCTTTTTCTTTTGTAGAAATAAACTTTTATTTCCTTCTCTTTATGGCAGAATTCAGTGCTTTCACATTCTTTTTTTTAATAATAAAAAAAAAGTCAGTTTTCCTCTTAGATAATGCTTTTATGAATAGAATATTTTGATGAATACAAGAGAATTGTATACATGAGTCCCTGCTTTCAGGGAATTTTATGTGCCAGTTTATGTTCTGTAATGTACTCCTCACTGCTTACCATAGAGTGTTGTTTAGAAGGTGACAAGTTTAAGGAGTATTCCAAGCCTGTAAGTGTTAAGAAGGTTATCAAAATGAAATGCTGACCAATAATATGTGTTCTTTTGCAAGGAGTCCAAGTGATGTGGGCCAGTGGCAAGTGATGCAACCACAAAGGAGATTGTATCAATGTAGTGTACATGTTCACTGAGAACTGTTCACTTATTATCTGTTAGTGTGTTTCACAACCATCAAAGGAAAATGCCTCCTTGCAAAGTAAATGTTACCTATTGGAGGGTGTGGTTCGGGGTTTTTACTGCCTTTGTTCTTCACTGTGGAGTTTTAAGCTCTTGTCTGTGGATCAGAGACTTGAACCCACAAAAACATGAGTTCTCTTGTGCTCACGTAAGTTTGAAGTAACAAAAGATAAAACTGTGAGGGAGCTGATTACATCTCTGTGATTCTTTAAGCAGATATATCTTCACCAAACACTTAAAGATTGCTATACGGCTGCAGTGAAGCATCCCTAACTGCATCTGCCAGACCCAGTGACTGGAATCCCAGCTGTCAGTTTCTGTGTGTGTTTGGGGATTTTGGTGGTGGTTTTGGTTGTTTTTGTTTTATATTCGTTGGGGTTTGTTTGTTTGTTTATTTTTTAATGGGCTGTATGCCGCCTTGTACAAAGGAGCTCTTCACTGCAAACCTTCCTTTTCCCCACCAGGTCTATCCCTGTACCAATGATAAGGAATGTGAAGTTGGGCGATACTGTCACAGCCCTCACCAAGCACCGTCTGCATGCATGATGTGCCGGAGGAAGAAGAAGCGTTGCCACAGAGATGGCATGTGCTGCCCTGGGAACCGCTGCAACAACGGTAGAGCAGGCATTTCGGGATTTTCTTCCACGAGCCACATTTTGATAGCATCTATTTCTCTGACCATTTCCAGCAACAGTGGGTTTTTTTCTGACTGTGTGGCTTTTGCTAAACCAAGAAAACTTAGTTTTCTACTTCATTCTACTCCATTTTAACAGTTTTTCTATGTTTAAGACTTGTGTACTACCAGACTTGGTCCCATTTGGGGGAGGGGAGACACAAAAATGATGTTGTTATTGAGTGAAATCATAGCACTACTTTCAAGTGGTTTGATTCACTGGAAGACTGCACAGAACCCATATTGTTAAGGAAGTAAATGAAACTTTATGAATCCTTGATCTACTCTCCCTGGTGGCAGAGACTGTGTGTCTGTGTGTAGATTATAACCATACTATTTGCATTTCCATACTCTTCTCTGGAGACTGGAGAGAGAAGTCTGTAAGACAGTCTCCAGGTGCTCAGACCACAAACCAGAATGACAGCAAGACTGTCTGACAGTGAGTGAAGCAGACACGTGGTGAAGACAGGTGCTGGGGGTCAAGGACAGAGGTGTGATTAGAGTTGAGCATCACTGAGGCCAAACCCCAGCGCTTTCATGGACCTGGTCCTGATCCTGGTCTGTGTATGTCTTCTGCTGCTTTTCATCTTGTTCAAAACTTTGAGTGACTGTCTTTTGCTTGCAGGTATTTGTGTACCAGTAACTGAAAGCATCCTTACACCTCACATCCCTGCTCTGGAAGGGCCACGCAACAAGAAGAACGGTCATTATGCTAGCAAGGATTTGGGATGGCAAAATCTAGGAAGGCAACGCTCCAAGCTGTCACACATAAAAGGTAAGATCACATTTGCACTACACTGGTTTGTTCCTGCGTGTTATGAATCATGTTATTGCTGTTAAGGTACAGCAATACAAACCAGAAATAGGCAGTAATTTCATAGGGAGTGAATGTCTATCATCAGAATTCACAGCATGAGTCAAAAAGTGATGTAATATCAACCATCAATTCCTAGAATTGAAATAGCACCTCCTTTCTTCACTGTATCAGAGGTGGACTGACAAGCCATTTTTAAAGTCGTGCAAGATTGTACGCAACCTCCTCTTGTAACAGTCATATAGTTAAGCACTTGTAATTCTACTTACAATCCTATGGTTGAATTTCTCCTTGCTAAGTCTGATGGCAGGTCTAATTAATTACTTCTTTGAACCTTCCTATCTTTTGTTGTATTCACATCCTTCAAATAACCACAGATGGGAATATTATCTCTGCTTTTTCTAAGCTTCATTTGCACGGTCTACACTGAATCAGTACTTTCACATTTTCCATGGGGTAAAGTAGTTTGGTTGCTCTTTTTAGGACATGAAGGTGATCCCTGCCTACGGTCATCAGACTGCATTGAGGGACATTGCTGTGCTCGACATTTCTGGACCAAAATTTGCAAGCCGGTATTGTATCAGGGGGAGGTGTGCACCAAACAGCGCAAGAAAGGGTCCCACGGACTGGAGATTTTCCAACGGTGTGACTGTGCCAAGGGGCTGTCTTGCAAAGTGTGGAAAGATGCAACCTCCTCTTCTAAATCAAGACTTCACGTGTGCCAGAAGGTCTGAACGAGGATTGAGAAGATGGTATTAAGTGACTGTGGCTTTATGTATTTAATGTGTTATGGCATGGTGGGAAATGAGAACTGCCAGTGGAATGGCTAAAGTAACTGTTAGGGTAGGAGTAGAATTCATAACAAATGCATTTCTTTTTGAGCTGGTGGTAAACACAAGTGCAGCTGGTGTTCTCCTACTTTGCAGCTCTTCTGTAAATAACTTCTACAATTTGTGGGAAATGCTAGTATGCAAACAAGTACAGTGGAAATTAATGTCACTTCCCTTGGTGTGTTGTCCTGTGATGTTTCAGGTGTTCAGTGTTAGGGCTACAATGGTTTTCCAGTGTGGTAATGACTGCTAAATTGTATACATTGTACTCCTATAGGAAGCAGTGCATGCCAGGAAGACTCATCTATCAACAGATTATTTGCCTTATTGCAGGTGTGCGAAATGGAAATACAGTTACTGTGAATGTCCACACGACCTTGTCATTCAGGGCTGACACTTCAGCAAAGAAAGCACTCCTGCAGGACAAGAGTGTTTGCAGGCCCTCGTGAAAGAGGAGAAAACTTGCCATCTCACAATTCCAAGGGAGCAGCAGTTTCTCTAAGAGGAGGCACTTACACAGGGGTTTGTTTCCTACACAAAGGTAAACTGAAAGGCTTTATGTAGTTCAGTGTCACAGTATGGCACTTAATTGCTTGCATTTGCCTCAGTTTACTGCAACTTTACATTGGGTTGCAGAGATGAAGCAAATATGTGCATGCTGAATCCAGAATTATATGCAGGCAAATACTCATTAGTCCTGAATATACTTTCCTTGCCTAAGCACACTTGCATTATAGACAATTCCAAGAGAAATAGCAGTGTTAAGTGCCTAACATGAAGAGCTATGAAGCTGTTTCACTGTTTCTAACAGATGATGTGGGCATTTGCTGAGGTGTTTAGAGCATATTGCTACAAACTCAAATGTTGACATTTTATGAGAAGCCACAAGCTACTGATGGCACTCTGCAGAAGTAGAAAGGATTTATTTCTTAGAGGCGACAGAGGAACAGGAACTGGCTCTTGTGAGCACCTCCTCTCCTACAGAAAAGGATGCAAGAAGATGGTACGACCACAGGTGACTTGTTAAACATCATGTGATGTCACAGCTTACCAGCCTCCAGTGTGTATTCATCCTGAACTTTATGTCCTCAGTCTGGACTGTCCCTCCAGGAATGATAAAAGTACATGGACTATGGAAACATCTGACGACCCTACATTGTTTGTGTACTGGTTAGCCCTTGCCTTGTCTCCCAGGTCTTTTAAAACTTTTTTCATTTTACTTATTTGCAAGTATTGCTTTGTATAGACATCGGTAAAGAGACTGATATTTCTTTAAAGTCTGATTCTGTAATTGACTTTCTACTAAGTTGTAATTATCCGTTCATAATTACCCATTTTTGTGTTTCGTAATACACAGGAATTTTCTGGTTTATCAGTTCTGAACAATGCGGGTAGACCAGTATGTAGCTTAACTTTGAAGACTATGTCACCCATACCTGACAACTTTTCCAACCAGTGGTGGTTTTGATGCTATAGCTTAGCTACACCACCTGACTCAGACTTCCTAATTAGAACACACACCTCAGCTACATTGCCTTTATCTTTCATAAAAGTCTAAATAACATGAGTTTTTCACATGCCTCTTTCCATACAGGAGTTAGTTCTTGTTGGCCTAGGGGGACTGCTCAGAGACAAGGTGTTCTGTTTTATAACAGTCTCAGTCAGTTTTATCGTGCAGTCCGATCACCACAACTCATTTCACAACTCTGAAAGCTTATTTCAGAGTTTTTCCAGTGTAATTGAAACAGGAATAAGGCTCAGAAATGACATACTTTCTAGATATTAAAAAAAGTAGAGAAAGCAATTTTGCAAGTGTTATTTACAAACACAGAACATACTCGGCAGAGGAGCTCTATTGCTCTCACTGTGACTACATGTAAAAGAAAATGATAGCCAGAGTGAGCAGAGGGGTTGCAGAAATGGGCTGTCAGTGATTTTTAGTTCTGTTGTTGGCATACCCCCCTTTTCCTCTTGCAAAACGTAGTTATTTGGGATAATTTATTTACAGGAAATGTTTAAGGAGATGTATTTTCTTATAGAGATATTTCTTACACAAAGCTTTGTAGCAGAATATATTTGCAGCCTGTTGACTCTAATGTAGAAAAATGTATAATAAGATTAAATATATTAAATATCCTTTCACATTCCTCCCCAAATATTTTACCCATATTCTTTTCCTTACCTGCTGCTTAAGAAGAGTAGTTCTTTCTGGAAAGATATGCAAATCATCACCAACATTTATTTTAGCCATACAACAAAAGGTATCTGATTGTACTTGTGTCTCAAAGCATCCTGTAGGCTGAGTTTTGGTAAAATGCATGAAGATCATCTTAAAATCCCCATAAGTAATTTCTACAAAACTGGTTAAATGGCAAATATCTATACAGTTTTCTTGGGAAATTTTTTACCTAAAAATTCAAGAAACTGCACCTGGATACATAGATACATAGATATCTGGATACAATCAACCAGGTTAAATAGGAAAGGTGCCCTGCCACACTCCCTGCATAATTGATACATACCAGAGAGACTCAGGGTGGGCAAAGCTGGTATTCAAGTTACACAGCATTTTGCTATAGGTTAGAGCATACAAATGCACTGCTGCAAAATCTTTAACTACTAGTTTAAAAATGGCAAATAACATTCAGCTCCTAAAAACATGAAACAATCTATATGACACAACTGAAAAATTGCTACTAAAACCAGCCAAGTTTTGATCCCAGGAAAACGCCTGCAGAGCTGAATAAATATTGCAAAATAATGGCTGTGGTTATTGAGCAATTGTCTCAAAATCCTTGTTTCTGGTAGCCCATTGCTCCAACAGATGTACATTTGGAGGATGGAATGGTCTCCAAGTCGCACGAGTGTTTGTACAAAAAATAAAAAGATTTTGCTACTGTTATTTGCAATATTGGGTGGGTAGGCCTTCAAAACATAGTAACACAACATAACAACATAATAAAGTTGAGAGCATCTTCAGAGACCAGTGACTTCAACAGAGTTTAAGACTGCCAAAGCCTTGAGAGATTTAATCTGGGAACAACAATAGGCTCAGGCGGATCATTGCACACCACAAATGCAACATAGCTGAACTGAGTAGCATGCAAGCAGTTTCGCAAGACTGAAGTTTGATTGTTTAGAAGCCATTCAATTAATGTTTTGGAGAAATATACATCATTTTGAGAAGAAAAGAACAGCTAAATTTGGGGATAATTGCTCTCACTCGCTGTGTCAATCATCAAGGGAATTAAGAGTGACTTTGGCTCAGTAACATTTCAGAAATCTGCTGTCATGACACATGTACTGAAGAGATTATTGCTGAACAGTTCAAATACTCTTCCTATTAGCCTAGAATTGCCTCAGCATTGCAAAATCTCTTTGGAAATACTTATTAACTTTCCTAAAAATAATGGATTTACTCTTTATAACAACATATATTTGATTTACAGTATAAATGTGGGTGTGTTTCTATTACTGTGCTATTTGCTTAGACTTATGTTGTTTGCAACCTATAGTATTTATGATTTTAAACATTTCTTAATGAAAGCAATTAAAATAGATTGATGCACGTACTTGTATAACCACACTTTCAACAGCATACATCCAGCACCTGGCACCTAAAACACAATTCACCAGAATTCAAGCCATCTTCTGCATATTTTACCTTTCCTGGTCTTTGTCTCAACAACAGCAACAAAAAATCTCACCAAACACCATGAACTGTTTTGGGCAGAGCCTGAGAAGAGATATTCCTACACAATTTCTTGTCACCAACCCACCAGGCCTCTCTGCTTTCACTTCAGAATGCTGCATATCACCCCCAATAGGAAAGGTAAACACTATGAAAGAAAATCTGTATTTGTCGTCCCTCCCAGTCACTCTTCCTTCTAGAAAAGACATTTTAAGAAAAAATATCCTGAAGGTCAAAGCCAACAGAAAGTCATGTCGCAGACACTCTAAATCAAGGCTTTTAGGAGTCTGGAGATCTATCCTGTAACTTTCAAAAACTTAATTGTTAAGAGAGTTATGTAGATAAAATGACCCTGTTTACAAAAAATTAAAAAAAAGTAGCTCTTTGGGTTGTGAGTCAAGTGGTCTGAAAATAATATGGGAGGGGGACACAAACAGTACCTCCTCATTCCCTCATCCTTGCTCCCCCACCCCCCCCAAAAAACAACTACCTCACCTATAGTCCCTGTCAAAAAGAATGCTAATATTTTTTTACACTAGGCACATTTCACTCCACACAAAGCCATTGTTAATTTTTTTTTTTTTTTTAAATCACACTAATATAAAGTTATACTCTCTTACCAGCCTCTCCAGACTGATGTAAGGCATCTTTCTGATGCTGCATTAGGAGTGATGCTGCACAGGAGTGAAGGAACAGAATTAGTGTAGAGGTCTGTGCTTGCCCGTTTATATCATAACTTTCCACTGAGTCAAACAGAAACTTTCTGCTCAAGTGCCTTATTATATATTACAGTTTTTAACAAACACAGTGCTACCAAAATACGCTTACAGTTCAACACAGACTCGACACCCATTCTTACCTTATGTTTTGCCTTCAACTTCGTATGACTGTTGTCAGTAGCTGAAATGTGGCAAATGTCTGCTGTAGCCTCCTCTTATCTTACAGCTCTGACAGTTTTTTACTTAAGGTAGCAATGCAAGAGGTAAGGAGAAAGCATAAAAAAGGGAGGTGTGGGGGACTGGAGACACCTAGTCAGAAACTTGAAATGGCAGGGAGAAGGGGAAATCTACCTCAAAATGTGACTAGATGCTATTGTAAAAAACCATGAATGTTCCTCGTATCTCACTCAATTACCAAGAATGGAGGAAGGGCAGATGCGCTCAGTCTGTTCCTGAGTGACATCCCCACAGCACTGACCCAAACAAGGGAGGCC